ATAACAAAATAATTAAATGAATAGATTATTTAATTTATACAGATATGTAAAATACACATAAAATACTCTTTTTATAATTAGCCACCGTGCGAGACATAACGAGGTGTTTATAAATTAAAACTTTTAAATAATTGTTTACAAAAATAATAATGTTTTATAGTTGCAGTACAGTTTTATAAAAATGTTTTCACTATCAACATGAAATAATCATTTGAATGACTATGATAAAAACAGTTTTTACAATTTACACTTTGTTGTTATGGCATTGAAACACCATGGTGTGCGTAATAATACTTAAATATTTATTTTAGATAATAATATATTTTTCATTGTTTTTAAACTACCTTAGTAAACTACCTTTATATTTGGCATTGACTTTCATGTATGAGCATAAGTTATGCTGCATAACAATAATCATTATTGTATTTACTTTTCTCTTCAGTTCATATATTATGTATTATTGTATTTTTAATTATTATTTGTATTGAGTTGTAATAAACATAAAACATTTATTTATGATATATTTTATTATTAGTAATATTTTATTTAAGTCTTTTAAGCGAATAAAAATATTTTAAAAACAAAATTACTATTAACTATATTACTTACTACCCTAATTAAACAGCAAAAAAGTTACATAAATCTAGACCAAATAAAATATATTCAGATAGAGCAAACAAATCATCACATGTAATTTATTTAGTCTCAAAACGTTTGCGAAATGTACGCAAATTTTCCATAAAGGTCTCTATCGGTAGGCCAGCACTTTTGACAGTAGTGTCGCCAGACATTTGTTCCCTGTAATGGTTGACAGTTGGCAACTCTCGCCGCAAATAGTCAGCCCCGTTATGACCCGCAATGTCTACAAATAGCGGCAGGCGTTCAATGGAGGGCCATATCATGTAATCGACGAGCCCGGGCTGTGTCGCACCTGTAGGCAAGTTTAAACACATTTGTATGATAATCTGTAAACTAGGTACAATTATAATAATTATTTGACTCATTTATTTTAGCATTACTTCTATTATTATCTATTATCTAGATATTATACTACACACACAATATATTAAACACATTATGATAATTATAATTATTATCTATTAAATGCTAAATTTATTATATATATTTACCTAGCATTGTTAAATGTTTATAAAAAATCATACCTGACAAAAATTTGTTCGCCCCTCTCTTGTCGGCCAACAAGTTGTCCAACATTTTGAATCCGGTGACAATCTGTGGCCAATTGGTCGACAGGTCGGGCGACATAAAGAAAGGTCTGGATGCGGGCGCCCACAGGTTGCTAAATGATTCAATAAATACCCGATCCCTGGCCTTCTCGTACGGGTCCCGGGGCTGTAGGGGTCGGGTCTCGGGGTAAGCCTCGTCCAGGAATTGGCACACTATTAGCGACTCGTATAGCACTTTGTTGTCCGGTCCAAATTCTATGATGGGCAATTGTCCACCTGGGTTACGCTCACGAATCCAGTCAGGTGAATCTACCAGGTTCACGTTGATTGTTTCATGCCTGTTATAACAATAATATTATTATTATGTTGTTAAAAGTAACATAATAAATTATTTGTGACTTTTATCTTATAATACATTTTACGTTAAATTATTATATAGAAATTGCTACTTTGATTTGCAGTTGTTTATAAATGTTTTTAATAAATACGTTATTATTATTGTTATATTAAAATTAGTTTTTAAATTAAGTAAAAATTTTTAATTAAATAAATTATTTTTAATAATTAATTAGTTATAAATCTCAAAATTTTAGTGATAATAATTATAATACATACTCAATATTTTTAGCAACCAAGACCAATTTTACTCGCTCGCAGAATGGGCATGTTGGGCTACTATATAACCGAAGTAGGTTAGTGTTAGCACGAGCTGGAAATTCGTCACCTAGTTAGTTATAGTCAACGGTCGCCATGGTGTAATAAAATTGTAAATAGTCAGTACTGTATGTGTTATAAATATAGCAATTTATAGGCAGATTCATATTTAATAGCATTAGTCATGATATAACTAAAGTATAACCTCACTATACAATAGTGGCACTAAAGTGGCCCTAACGGGTTTTGATGGTTATAGTTTTTAGTAATATAAAAGTTATTTATTTAAGTTTAATACATAACAATCAAAATCATAAAGTTAAAATAAAAATATTAATAATAATGTAAAAACTATAATTCAAACCTTTTTTGTAAATTTTGTCCAACATTTTAATTATTTTTAATGTTTTGCTAACAATAAATTAATTTATAAAATTTAATAAAAACTTATAGTATATAAAATTTAATATAACTTCTTTAAATACTTACTAAATATAAATAAGTGCAAAAATGCCGCAGTGTCATTGAAAGATAATAATATTATATAATCATCATGACTAAAAGTTATAGTTACTGTATTAAATGTACCGTTTATTTTGATATACAGTATGTACAGGCCATATCAAGAATGAAAAGTAATGAAAACTCTCATAGTAAACCATTGATTTTCATTTTAGCGCAAAATGACCACAATTTTCTCGGGAAATATCGGAGTTAATTAAACCA